ACAGTGAGAAACCCAATTGGTGGTCTTTCATAAAGAAGCAATTAATACATGAGATGTGACACCAAGAAATGTGTTTTTTAAAAAAACGCATCTCCGTCTTTTCATTGACCTCTTTGTTTTTCTAAAAAAAATCAGAATCCAAGTATCCGCAATCCTTGAAACTTAAGTCCATAAAAATGGTTAAGTATGAAGTCTTCGTAACATACTTAGGAATGTTAGTGTTTACGAGCATCTGCTGCTGTTCTTCACGTTGGTGGAGATTACAGATTTGAGATGTGCAACAAAGGAATCTATGGCTGATAGCACACACCACAGTCATTATAAGTGGCCCATGAGATGGTGGACATGTTTGCAAAAGGAGGAGGCACCAAGCAAACAAGTTTCGTGGGTGGTATCAGACTTCTCAAGTGATAGTGCAGCTGTCCCTATCCAGGCAAATAAAGCATGTTCCATCACCCACTTGTGCCTTTTTTTAAAAATTCATTCATGGAATCCCTAACTACTGTCAAAGGAGATGGTGATCTGTTATCTTGAACTTGTAGTCCTTGTAGTGTGGGGACACCCAGTGTGCTATTTGGAAGGGACTTCCAGGAATTACACCTAGTGACAGTGAATGAATGGTGATATATTTTGAAGTTACATTGGCATGTGGCTTGGAGGGGAACTTGGCAGGTGGTGATATCCAAAGATCCCACTAAGCGGTGCAGCAGAGCCATTCTGAGAATCTATGCCTGGCATTCACTTCCAGAAGTCACTGACCCGTGTCACTCACCCTGTGGTCCCCAGAGAAGAAAAACAGGCAGAATCTCTGTGTCCCTGTACATCTGCCCTCATCCTTTTAGGAAGGAGAGAGAGTTAGAATGTGCAGAGGAAAGAGCTTTGATGAGTTCCTGTTGTGGATCTTGTAGATGGTACTCACTATTGCCCCACTGTCAGTGGTGGAGGACGGAGAGAGGCAAATGCTGACGACAGTGGATGAGGTTGCTTTACCCTGGATGATTTCATGTTAAGAGTGCTAATGAAGCAGCATTGTTTTATCACATTTCTGACTTGTATTTGATAGATGGTGGACAGACACTGGGGAGACATGAGGTGAGATACACACTAGAGAATTCCTAGGCTCTGACTTAGTCTTGCAGCCACAGTTTTATTGCTGATGATTTTATTGAATTCAAATTTCACCATCTGCAGTGTAGGTAGGTAGGATTCTGATTCATTTTCCCAATGCATTAGTATGGGACTCTAATTTACCAATCCAATGCCATTTCCTTTACACCATCTCCTTCCCCGTGCTTCAGGCATGGAATAATCTATGTCTCTGTCTGAAGAAGTGCAAGCAATCTCCACTGTGTCCTGGTCAATATCCTGCTCTGAATTGATACTTTAAAACAGTGCATTATTTACTTTTTTACATAAGTGAATGAGTTTCTAAAATAAGTAATGAGCTGTGAAGCAATTTAGAATGTAGTAGAGTATTATGTAAATGCAAGTTCAGTGTACAAGATTGAGGCCCTTGTGCTGAAGCATTATAATCTCATTTGCTGGTAGGGGAGTTACATTTTGTTGAAGCACAAGGTAACAATGCAAACAGTGGAAATAGTGCACAGAAAATTAGCTAGGTTAGCCCTAACGTCACAAGGAGTTCAGACTTTTTCACCTTGCAGGAGGGAGGGGACTTCATAAGAGAGTTGAACAGAGATTAATCCAGAAAGTGTTACATTATTGATGGAAACTAAATAGACAGTAAGTAGAAACAAGTAAAAATATTTCAGAATTGTGTAAAAACACACTTCACATTGGGCTAATTCATAACACCATTGAGATAGATGCTTGAGGTAATATCTCGTAAATAATTTACGAGTGCTAAATGAGACAATAAATTTCATAACCTTCATAGAGATTTATAAAATTTATGTTGAATGGTCTCTTTCAACAGTGCTTAGCTTTGTTATTATGTCTTCTATGTTTGATCCTTCAACTCCAGTAATGAAAATTAATAAAATATTGAGTGAAGTATTGGGGTTCTCCAGATTTGTAATTGTTGCAGCTAAAACTTGAAGACTTCACATTCAAATGAGTCATCTTGATGAACATTCTGTCCAGTTCCAGAAACTAGGTTATGCTAAATGATTTTGCTGGGGATAACTACTTTCACGTTAGATATAGTTTGGACTGAAGTATTGGTTGACTCATTTTGAGTCTGTGCACAGGTTACTTTTCAATATATAATGAAGATTATTGTAGAGGAAAGTGAAACTACAAAATGTCAGCCTGAAAATACCCTTGGCATGCAACAGTGTCTACTTTTTCATTATAATACTTTACTTTGAGGGTGAGAAATCATTTCGCCAGAAAATAAGTAGCAGAGTTTATTTCTTGTGCTGTGATACCAGTTTTTACAGTTTGATTCTGTGACCTTCATGTTTTTCTAGTGGTGGAATCTAATTTTGTTTATTTGTTTATTGTGATCATTGGAATCCATCGAAGAATGAAGAATGTTATCCTTAAAATTATAATATGTAGTATCTTTTCAAAGAGATTATGAGCAAAGCTATTTTACTGCGCCATTTTAAGACTGACTACAGATTTCAATGTGGAGGTATATTTAGATCCCTGTAGTCTGTACTTGTTGGGAATGAAACGTCTGTGCAGGAACTTCTTTCTGATTCTTAAATCCCATCCTTACTTGCTGTCCAGTGATCAGTTTGAAGATGAGGACATATTGAGCATGTTTGTGATGCTTACCAAGAGCTTACCAGTTGTCTTGATTTTGTTGTCTGAACTTGTAACGTGAAGAATATGTATTTGCACAAGGTGCTAAACACTGAGATTTGTAGAGTTTTGCTTCACCCACCCCACCTACCAAAGACCGAGATAGTTTGTTGCAGGAGTGGAGGAACATATCATTTGCTTAAACAAAAGTCAGATGATGGCAGTAATGTTTTATTTTCAAGATTTAGTTTGTCAGTAACAAGCCCTTGTGGAGCAATTCATAATTTTTTTTTTAATAGAACTTGTATTTAGCATACAGGTCCTTGAGCCAGACTTTTAAGTTTCTTTTTCAGTGGAAATTCTTTATTTGGCAGTAACAGTGAGATTCTCACTCCTTTCTTGCATGTCATTCCTAATAACCTTCAATCGACCAATTTATTGCTGATTCTTGGGTGTTGCAGGTTAATATTTAATTTACAAATGAGGTCTATCAAAAAGATATAAAAACTGAACTGAGAACAGTGACTAATTTACAATGTGTTTGGAGGAAAATCACATTATTTTGCCTGCTGACAGTAAATAAAGCTTTTAAAGTACACTATTCTTGGATTTGCTGTCTGTTTTATTAAAGATGTGTTTAAATTATGAAATATATTCATGAAATAGGTAATAGTAAAAGCGAATAACAGCTTTTTTTCTTGATGGTTTTTACTAAAATGTTTGCTTAGTTATTTTCATCATTCTTTAATAACGTGAGCCTTGCTGACAAGGCCGAAGTTTGGTGCCCATCCCTGATTGCTGTTAAACTGAATTGAGGGGAGTTGGTAGTGTAGTGGTAATATCAGTAGACTGGTAACCCAGAAAACCAGGCTATTGTTTGAATCTCACCATGGCAGATGGTGACATTTGGAATAAAAGCTAACCTGATTGTCAACTTTCATACAAGCTAATCCTGGTTTACTTGTCCTTTAGGGAAGGAAGTCTGGCGTCTTTGCCTGGTCTGGCCCACATGTGACTCATCATTGTGATTGGCTCTTAAGCACTGTCTGAGTAATTAGGGATGGACAATAAATGCTGGCCTCGCCAGTGGCACCCACCTTGCATGAAGAAATTTTCAAAAAACTGAAAAGAATGCACCACATCACTGAGTGTGCAGTTACTAGGTCAGGCAAGGATCAGCCTATTCCCTTCCCTAAAGAACATCAGTGACCAAGATAGTTTGGAAATAACAATTGGTGATTGTTGTCACAGTCACCATCACTAAGACTAATTTTATAGTGCAAATTTATTAATTGTTTTTAAATTCCACCAGCTGCCATGGTGAAATTTGGGCACACGTCCCTCTGGCTTACTAGTTCAGTGACATTACCAGTATGCGATTGTTTACTCCTTAAAAAATATACCTTCTTTAGTATGACAGAAACATTTGCCATTCTTATGTATTGCAAAGGGAATGGAGGTAGGTCGTTTGAATGATCCCTATTCCCTCTAAACTACTAACCACTGAACTTCTCTACCTATCTAACGCACATGAAAAATTACTCTCTTCAGGTTCTGTTCCTCTCCCCTTCAAATTTGCTGTCATCACCCCTCTCCACAAAAATAATAATTATTGTAAACGTTGTACTTGTAGGCTACTGCTACTACTACTGCCCCAATTCCAGCCATGTGTTGTTCCCTCCATACTTAATGTCCAATTTAGGCCTTCCTGGCATCTCTCATTCTACCCTCAGTAAATTTGAGGTGATTCAAAATATATCCATGTCTCAACTTGCATTAAATCCTATTCACCCTGACTTGCTTGCTGTCCCATTATAGCCTTTCATTAAACAACACCTCAATTTTAATATTATTTGTTTTCAAATCCGTCGAGCCTGATCCCTTCCTAACTCTAACTTCATCCAGTCCATAACATTCTGAGCTGTATTCCTCTGGTTCTAGTGTCTCAGTTGTAATTGCTTCATCATCGGTAGCCATGCATTCAGATGACTAGGGTGTATGCTCTGGAATTGCCGCCTTGAATCTCCCCATACTTCTGCCTCCGCCTCACCTTGTTCCTTCAGTACTTTCCTTAATTCCCGCCTCTTTGAAGCTTTAGGTCATCTTACCTAATAGTTTTTTTTTAATACCTCAGTATCTTTATTGTATTTTGTAATGCCCCTGCGAAACATGAATTTGCTTTACTGTTTTAATGACTTCTACATAAATGCAAGTTGTTTTTAGTCTTGAGAAATATGGGGGTGCATTATATTCAAAACAAGACTTTTCTGAAGTATTGTTTTAAATAGGGTCGTGGTGCTGGCTTTCCTGGGAAGAAGAGACCACGTGGTACAGGACACTCTGGACGGGGAGTTAGAGGCAGGTCAAAACTGAAAAATGGTATTGGTGCTGCTATAACACCAGGAGTAAGTGGACACTGTTTCTATTTCTCTGATTGGATATGGACTCTATTTATCTAAAGGGAGATTATTGTTCCAATTGTACTGTTTTTATATTACTGTTGATGACCTGATGTATCTTGTTAGTTATTACATTGATCTTGGTTGAATAAATCTGTTTGGAAGGCAGTTTATTGGCTCTGTCAATTGTATATACTATTACATTCTACTTTCTTGTTTTAATATTATTTGTGGGTACTGTTGGCATGTTTGTAACATTATCACTTGACTTCACTCTGGAACTTAAATGGACACTGAAATGTTGCTTTTCCACCAGGCACGTAGGTGCTAAGGAAGATTGTCCTTTGACAAATAAGTGCTTTACAGACATTTTGTTCTATAATTGCCCAGTGTTATCAGGTCCTTTGTTAAATATCTTTTATGGTACTCCTCCCCAGTTGAATTTAGAATGCTGAACTTCCCACTAATTTACTGGAAGGGTGGAACTGGAATCATTATCCTTTTTATCATACGGCTCAATAAGGAGAGAATTCTCATCTTACATATGCTTTCTCTCCCTCATTTTTATCTGGTTTAGTAAAATCATTTGTGAAAAATTGTTTTGCTAGTTTTGTTTCTTCGGATTTATTTAAGAGCCATCATTAAGGGGCTTTTCAAGAACCTTAACTAGTGAATTGACTGGTGGCAATAAGAACCTTGGAATCATATTGGTTGAAATTGGATTTTCTTACACATGAGGTTGCAGAATTTTTCTTAGCTGAATTATTTGAAGATGAACACGTCTCCAAGGTAAGTATAATTTCAGAAGGTCCCATTTGAAACAAAAAAAACACAATAAAAGAGTGAATGGATAAAAACAACAGAAAATACGTAAGTTTAAGATGATGTTTCATATTTTAAAAAGTATCCTCTTGTTGAACTTCTGTATTATATGTGAACCTTGACTCAAAAATGATGTGTCATTCAGGTCTTGGAGTGATTTTCATTGTATGAGCTTCTCACTAAAATAGTTTATTCTGATTTTAAATCAAGATGTAATAGATCTAGAATTAGTGGCAAAACTTTGCAAAGAAAAGTTATAACTTGTCTAGAGATAGTTAATAAACAATAGGAGCTGCCACTGATTGATCTAATTAACTGCATGCAGTGCTGGGGGTTGTACAGTCTGATTAAGGCTTTAATTCCTTTTCTGTGTTGATTTGACTGGTCTCACTCCAATGAAATGGGAGGTTTGGCAGAGGTTATTGCTCAGCAGTCTCCACTGACAGTACAGGTATGAGAGAGATCAGGCAAGATCTGGTCTGGATTTGGACTAGACTGTGATTGCTGCTAGTTTAGCTCAGTATCTGACACCATTAGGAAAAATGATTTAAATGAGGTGTTGAATGCTATTAAGCAAAGAACTGTTTCATTACTGGTGCGTCCTGTGTAAGGCACAGGTCAGGAGTGTTTTGCCTGACATCATCCAGGACAAAGCAGCCCACTTGGTTGGCACTACATGCACAAGCATCCACTCTCACCACCACCAATGCTCAGTTGCAACAGTGTGTACAGTCTACAAGATGCACTGCAGAAATACACCAAGATCCTTGGACAGCATCTTCCAAACGCACAGTCATTTCCATCCAGAAGGACAAGGGTAGCAGATATATGGGAACACCACTGCAAACCCTCCAAGCCACTCACCATCCTGACTTGGAAATGGATTGCCTTTCCTTTACTGAGGTCAAAATTCTGGAATTCCTTCCCTGAGGTCATTGTGGGCTAACCTACAGCACGTGGACTGGAATGGTTCAAAAACACAGTTCACCACCACCTTCTCATGGGCAACCAGATACGGGCAATAAATACTGGTCAACCAACGATGCTGACATTCCACAAGTGAATAATCAAAGAAGTTACTACTAAGGGTCGGGGTACAGTGAGCCTTGCAGATCAGGAATGTTCCAGCATGACATTGGACTTCCACTCAATTGAGGTTATAATGCAACAGAAAGTTGGATTACCAGCTGATGGGATGATTTCCTTAAGAGTCATTGCAAGAGGAGTTTCCAGAACTTGCTGTAGCAAGGGATCTTGGCAGTCCTATTGATATATAAATATTCAACATGTTTAAAGATCAAATAAAGCAGTAATTTACCCTAACGTCCGAAGCACGTATCGGAGTAACCCCATGCTAAGAAAGGTCACTGGGTGCTTTTCCCTTTGATATGTTTTAAAGAAGGATATGATTTCTTTTTTTAAGTCAGGAAAGATAACCTGTTATAATTGTGCACTTTCCATTGCAGGTTGGTGCTATGGAAATGATGGTCAATAAGGATGAGGATGAAAACTCGATGCATAACACCGTTGTTTTATTCTCTACAAGTGACAAATTTACTTTGAAACAGGTAAGGAATGTCCTCAGTTTAAATAATAAATCATTGGAGTAGCAGAAACCTATCTACCCAAAGTAGTCTACAACATTGCCTTTAAAATTAGGACATCTGGGACTTGGGGTAATCTGTTCATGGATTGAGGATTTGTTAGACTTTTAAGCGACTCTTGGATAGGCACATGGAGGATAGTAAAATGTAGGGTATGCAGGGTAGATTGATCTTAGGAGGATAATAGGTCGGTGCAACATCGTGGGCCGAAGGGCCTGTACTATGCTGTACTGTTCTATGTTCTTAACAGACTAAGGCTAAACGGTCAACTTTTGGGTGGCAGGCTATGAGACTGAGGGTACTGAAAGGATATGTGCTTTGGCTTTGGTTATTGACAGTCTATGATCAGTGCCTGAGATGAGGCAACAGAATTTAATATATTCAAGTTAGCTACTGGTGCGAAATTGACAGTAAGTGTGAGGAGGAGGCAAACAAGCTGCAAAATGTCAATTTGAGTGAGTGGGCAAGGACATGGCAGATTTATAACGTGGAAAAATGATGTTATCTACTTTAGAAGGAAAAAATAAAAGGTGAACATTTTCTAAAGTAAGAGAATGTTCAGTAGAGTTTAATCATCTTACCTAAGAATGGATATACTTGCCATAGAGGGGGACCAACGAAGATTCACTTGCTTGGTTCCCAAGTTCAGATTGTCCTCTGAGGAGAGATTAAGCACGGCTATGTGTCCTAGACTATAAGCTGCAGGCATACATAGTGCCTAGAGAGTTGACAGGATTAATGCTGAAAGGATGCTTTTCCTGGCTGGGGAGTCTATAACTAATGTTCACATTACAAACCGGGGGGCCAACCATTTCGGATTGGGAAGTAAAATTATTTTTCACTCAAAATAGCTTTAATTTTTTGGAATTCTTTGTCTCAAAGCTGTGGTTGCTCATCGTTATTTTTTTTTAGGACCATGTATAGGTCAGTAGATTTTTATGTCTGCTGAAGGAGTCAGAATACAGGAATAGTTCAGGGAGGTGAGGTTTAAGTAGATGTTCAGCCAAGTTCTTATTGAATACTGGATCAATAAGATGTTCAAAGGACAGAATGGCCTTCTCGCACTCCCTGCTTATTTTGGTCTTATCTCTAATTTCGGCAGTGTGAAAATCAAGCTATGATTAATTAAAATACCATTTGATATAACAGTTTTGAATGAATATTTTACATTCTCTTTGGTTTTTATGTAACATGGCCATAGTTTATATTTTTAGTGGAAGCCAGACTACAAAGTACTATCCTCAATTTTAAAAAAAATTCAGTTTTGCCTGTGACAAAAATGGAATACAGTTTATTTGGTAACCGTAAACCTATGTCTTCATGATAAGAACATTGAAATAAAGACTAGGATCATTAAACACTGGGTAAAAATAGCAGAAGCTCAAGTTTGACTTAACTCTGCAACATGGAAGAATTGATTATAATCACTAATAAAACAGAGAGCATTTATTTGTAGCATTTATCAGTTTACACTTGTAAAGCACCCTAAATGAAAGATAAAATTCTAAATAAATATTTGAGATAAATTAGGGAACAAGATGCTGTGCTGCTGGGTGATTAGGAGGGGGTAATTCTCTAGTCAAGAGGATTGGTTTTTGAGACATTTCAAAGCTGTCAAGGAGCAGGAGGATATGAAGGTTATCGATCACTTAACCGCCATCACGACATTTTAGTCTTTTAAATCCTCTGAATAAATTGAAAATACAGGTTTTATTTGATTGTTTCCTGTCCTAAAGGAAGAATAAATGGGCGTTGTTTGACCTGTTGATTAATTTACTTTCAGGATATGTGTGTTGTTTGTGGAAGCTTTGGGAAAGGTTCAGAAGGCCGACTACTTGTTTGCTCTCAGTGCGGCCAGTGTTATCATCCCTACTGTGTCAGTATTAAGGTAAGAGTTACTTTTACTTCAGAAGATGGATCATAGATTGTAAATATAGGGCTGAAACATTCGCAAAAATCTTCAGCTAGAAGTGCTGTGTGGATGATCCAACTTGGCCTCCTCCAGTGGTCCCCAGCATCACAGATACCAGCCTCTACCAGATACTCCATTTGATATCAAGAAATGGTTAAAGATTGCACTGGATACTGCAAAGGCAGTGAGCTCTGCCTATATTCTGGCAATAATACTGAAGATGTGTGCTCCAGAACTTGCCACACACTTAACCAAGCTCTGCCAGTATAGCTACAACACTGGCAATTACTCAACAATGTGGAAAAATTGCCAAAATATGTCCTGATCGCAAAAAGCAGGACAAATCCAACCCAGCCAATTACTGCTACATCAATCAACATGCAATTATCATAGTGATGGAAGGTGTCATCAACAGTGCTTTCAAGCAGCACTGACACCCAGTTTGGGTTCCGCCAAGGCCATTGAGCTCGTGACTTCACTACAGCTTTATTTCAAGCATGGACACAAGTGCTGAATTTCAGAGGTGAGTTGAGTGACAGCCTTTGACATTGAGGCTACGTTTGATTGAGTGTGGCATCAAGGAGCCCTGGCAAACTGGTATTAGTGGGAATTGGAGCAAATTCTCCTGGAGTGTGGAGTTGGAGTCCCAACTGGAAATGGTTTTGGTTGTTGGAGGTCAGTCACCTCAGCTCCAGGAATCTCTGCAAGAGATTGGCCCAACCATCTTCAGCTGCTTCTTCAATGACCTTCCTTCCATCCATTACAAGGTCAGAATTAGGGAAATTTATCGATGACTGCTCAATGTTCAGCACCATTGGCAACTCCGTAGATACTAAAGCAGTCCTTGTTCCAATGAAACAAGATCTGGACAATATCTGGGCATAAGCTGAAAAGTGGCAAAAAACATTCGCACCACACAAGTGCCAGGCAATGACCATTTCCAATAAAAGACAATCTAACCACCACCCCTTGACATTCCATAGAGTTACCACCAATAAGTTTCCCTACTATCAGTAGACTGGGGCTTACTATTGTCCAGAAACTCAACTGGTCTTGCCAGATAAATCCAGCGGCTACAAGAGCAGATCAGAAGCTCAAGTCTCTGCAGCAAGTAACTCATTGGGCTCCCCAAAGCCAGTCCACCAACTACCAAGGTGCAAGTCAGCATAGAATACATCTCAGTTGCCTGATAAGTGCAGCTTCAGCAATACTCAAGAAGCTTGACACCATCCAAGATGAGGCAGCCCAGTGGTTCACATCACATCCACAAGCATCCACTCCATGTAGGACCAAAAACAAAGTTGCTGGAAAAGCCCAGTAGGTCTGGCAGCATCTGTGAAGGAAAAAACAGAGTTAACGTTTCGGGTCTGGTGACCATTCCTCAGAACTGATGGTGGCTGGGAAAACATCAGTTTATACGCAGAAAATAGGGAGGTGGGTGGGGTAGGGAGTGAACAATAGGATAGAGCCCAAAAGAGAGAGAGACAGTTGGGGCAGACAAAGGAGTTGCCAATGATCAGGCTGGGAGGGTGAATAGTTGTTAATGGGGACTCTTAATGACTAAGAACAGGGGATGTGTAATGGCAGGCTATGTGGTAACAAGGCCTGGTGTGTGGGGTAGAGGGCTGGGACATGGGAGAGTTCAGGCCCTAAAATTATTGAACTCGATATTGAGTCCTGAGGGCTGTAGGGTCCCCAAGTGGAAATGAGGTGTTGTTCCTTCAGCTTGCATTGGGCTTTGCTGGAACACTCCAGCAAGCCAGAGACACAGATGTTGGCCAGGGAACAGGGTGGTGGGTTGAAGCGGCAGGCAGCTGGAAGCTCCGGGTCTCTTTGGCGAGCAGAACGTAGATGTTCCATGAAGCGGTCACCCAGTCTACGATTTGTTTCCCCAGTGTAGAGGAGACCACGTTGTGAGCAGCGAATGCAGCAGACTAGATTCTGGGAAGTGCATGTGCACCAACATCCGGTAGCAGCAATGTGTACTATTAAAAGGTGCACTGCGGATGTTTGCCAAAGAACCTGAGATGGCATCTTCCAAACTCCCTCCCACTTCCATTTAGAAGCACAAGGGCTGCAGTTACATGGGAACACCGCTATCAACAAGTTCCTTTCCAAACCACTCCAAATCCTGACTTGGAAATATATTGTCATTCCTTCACTGACACTGAGTCAAAATCTTGGATTTTCCTCATTATGCGTCAGCCTACAGCACGTGGACTGCAGCAGTTCAAGAAGGCAGCTCACAACAGCCTTCTCAAGGGCAATTAAGGCAATAAACGGTGGCCCAACCAGGGGCAACCACATTCCATGAGAGAATAAAAAACCAAATGTTCCAAGTCCCCATGCTTCTCAGTTTAAATTACTGCACTTGTACGTTGTGATTATGTTACTGACAGTGCAGAGGCTGAAGTGAGATTCTGGTGATGCAAGTTGAAACCCCATCACAGCAGCTGGAAATTCAAATTCAGTTAAATTAATAAATCTAGAATTCTAAAGCTTGTGTCAGTTGTGATGACAACTTGTCGTTAAAAACTAATCTCGGTCACTAATGTCTGTTTGTGCATGACCCCGGACTTTGGACCAACAATAAATGTGACTCCCTCTTTACTCCAAAGTATCCTGCCAAACCACACAGTTCAACTGAACCAATATCCCAAAGTGTAAATAAAATGCCTCCACCACATGGGTGCCAGCATCTCAGGAAGGTGACTCACTTCTGAAGGACAGTTGGGGATGGGCCAGTGGTGACTAAATTCTTTGAATGAATTAAACAGGAAAATCTCAACTCTGAAACAGTTTCTTGTAATTTACCTTTTTGCCAAGTTTCTGAGTCTATGATCTCCAAGTAACAAGCCATTTGCTGGAGAAAATGTCTGTTGAGTCTGTCATAATCATTTTTCTTGAAAACCTCTTAGGTTGCATTTCAACCTTCACTTTTCCAAAGAGTTAAGTCCTAACTTTCCAGATCCTACACTTCAAGTCCAAAGAGTGATCCATATATTTGGACTAAGTACATATTCAGAAACTTGCATCTTAATTTCTCCTATACTCTCACTGTCCATACGTGTCCTTCGTAATTGAGGTGAAGAAATAGTCCCTTATCAGGAAGTATACTTTTAGTTTGTGATCAACATTTGATGTTTGCTACTTGCATTGAGACCGTAATACCTGAGTAACAGATGGAGAGAAAATAAAATCAGACCTGTTGCCCGCTGTTGAAACAAATTATGAATCACTATCTGTGGAAAGAGGAGAAATTATTCAAACCAGCCTTGTCCGTAAAAGACACCCATCCATTGTATGCCCCATGTAATTGTCTTCAATATTGCACACAGACCAGTGTAGTGAAATTATTGGATAAATATGTTCAGCTTCTGCTCTTACACAGTCAATATATGCAACATTAATTACTATAATTTGACTATGTGCTCTTTCTTTAAGCGCGTCTTATGAAAATATTATTCCTGGAAGGAGTGGAATTTGCATACAGGAATGATACAGGAGGATTATAGGGCAAAGGAAGAGAGGAAGGCAGTGGTACTTATTTTTGACAGTTCTTTTAAAGAGCCAGCAGAGAGATTAAGCTGAATGGCCTCCTTCAATATAAGTTCTCTAGTTCTGTAGGTCACTTAAATTCCAAACCTGTCTTTAATTTCTGATTTAGCAATTCAAGTGCAATCCAGCTTCAAAACTATTTTTCTCTTCAGACATCTAAGAATTCTTAAACTAATCTATGTCAGTAATTGTACATACTTGCAACTTGGTCAGCAACACTCATTCCAACCTGTAGGTGACAAAATCAACAGGCATGAAGACTTCTGGATAAAATTCTTCTTTTCCAAAGCACCAGTTATTAATAACCTGTGGTGATTCATCATTCCGTTATTATCATGGTTGGAAGTGCTGAAGTGTCTTCATTGGACCTCTGATATCACCTTGCAGAATATACCTTTTACAAAGTGCATATAAAAGTTGATATTGTGTAAAAGCTGTTGCTGAGGTTTTTGACCTAAAGAAACCCGCAGATTTACATATACTTCACATAAAAGTTGGTGCTTTTTTAGAGATCAAAGGTATATTAGTTCAGCTCCAAATCTCTACAATGATAGCAAAAGCCTCCAATTATTAATTAAAGTTACACTTCGCAAATTTCCTCTTGTGCTGAATTGCCAGTTAAGATGAGAAGAATATAGACTGATTTTTGCATTTTTGAGAACGGAAATTAACAGGATGGAGAGGACTAATAAACACTGCACATGGAAACTGGATGCAGGGACCATCTTCGACAGACAACTTCACATAAATGGATGGCCATATCTTCCTTGTCAGTGGAATCCTTGCAGATATCAACACAATGCAATCTTTCTGCACTGAGGTCTAGTTGAAGGACTCAAAGCTGTTAGCATGTCATTTTTGAACAGCAGAGCCCTGCCCTTCCTTTCCTTCCATTTCTTTACCCAGTCCCTAAGCAGCACTGAAACCACAGATTCCGCCAATGTCACAAGAGTCTGCAGGAGGTCGGGAACCTCCTTAATAAAAACAAAGAGAAGAAACAAACGACTTGCATTGGCACTGCTTCCTCAATTACTTTGAGAGCTATGTTAGGTGTTTTGGCACGTATGTGTAAAGAAATGGAAGGAAGGGGCTCTGCTGTTCAAAAATGACATGCTAACAGCTTTGAGTCCTTCAGCTAGACCTCAGTACAAATGTTAGCCAGTTAACCCTTTTCCTAAAAAAAAAAAAAAAATCTGGTCTTGTAAATTCAACTTAAATCAGAGTCATTGCAGTATATTGTCAATGCAGAGTTAAGTACAAGGTATACCTTTAATGAGGCACACATATTGTATGTTCAACTCTATCCTTTATAATTTTGTTAGCTTTAAAGATAATGCATAATTTTGCAGTGCAAAATGATACCAGCAAGGGTTCAATTCCTACACTGGCTGAGGTCACCACGAAGGATATACTTTCTCAACCCCTCCCTTGCCTGAGGCATGGTAGCCCTCAGGTTAAACTACCACAAATCGTGTCTCTCATGAGAAAGCAGCCCTATAGCCTGGTATAGTTTTGCAACTTTACTGTACAATTAGCCTATTTGCTTTTACACAGGAGATTTCTGCAGCCGAGTATGTGAATCTAGGATAATACGTTCCCTTCCTGGTGCCAGGGTTAAGGATGTCTCAAAATGGTTGAAACATATTGTCAAAGTAGAGAGAGAGAAGCCGGAAGTTGTTGTACACATTAGTAGGAATGACATAGTTAGGGAAAGGGTTAAGGCTTTGCAGAATGAATATAAGGGATTAGATTGAAGGCTAAAAAATAGACCTCAAAGATAGTAATCTCTGGCTTATTCCTAGTGCCACGTTCTAATGAGACTAGGTCAGAAGCCCCATGACAGCAGGTTATAGTCCAACAGGTTTACTTGAAGTCACAAGCTTTCGGGGTGCTGCTCCTTTGTCACGTGAAGTGACTTCACCTAACAAAGGAGCAGCGCTCCGAAAGCTTGTGATTTCAAATAAACCTGTTGGACAACCTGGTTTCGTGTGACTTTTGACTTTGTCCACTCCAGTCCACGTCATGGCTACTAATGAGAGTAGGAATAAAAAGATAGGGCAGATAAATCAATGGCTGAAGAGATGGTGCAATGTGCAAGGATTTAGATTTATGGATCATTGGCATCTCTTCTGGGACAGAAAAACCTGTCCAAAAGGAGTTGGTTTCACCTGAACTGGAAAGGACCAATTTCCTGGTGGGGTGATATGCTAGTTGCATTAAACTCGTAGAGGGGAGAGTGAGGGGATCCTAAGTCGCAGTAAAAGTAGAAAGACAGATGAGGATGGTTCTGAACAGAATAAGAGTAATTTAGTTAGAAAACACAGACAGTAACAAGTCTGAGAACGAGGTAACTTTGAAGAATTAAACTGCATTTATTTCAATGCAAGGGTCTTACAGGTGAGGTTGATGAACTCGGGTCATAAATGGGAGCATGGGGCTGGGATATCATAGCTATTACAGAAGCTTGGTTAAGGGAAGGACAGGACTAGCAGCTCAATGTTCTGCGTTTTAGATGCAATAGAAGGATAAAAAGGGAGGCAAGCGAGGAGGGGAGTAGCATTTTTGATTAAGGAAAACATTGCTATGTAATTAGAGAGGATATTTCTGAGGGATCATCCAGTGATATTATATGGCTAGAAATTAGAAGTAAGAAAGGTATGATCGACTTGATGGGACATTAAACATGTTTTATGATCTTAATTTTAAATATGCTTTAGTCACGTAGAGTCATGCAGCATGGAAACAGACCCTTTGGTCCAACTAGTCCCTCAATAGTCAGAGGGAAATTGGGGAGCACATATTTAAAGAGATCTCAGATATATGTAAGGATAGTAGGGGATTTTAATTTTCCAAACATTGACTGGGGCTGCCATAGTGTTAAAGGTTTGGATGGTGAGGAATTTAGGTGTGTTAGAAAATTTTCTTCATCAATATATAAATGTACAATTAGAAAAGGAGCAAAACTTGACTTATTCTTGGGAAATAAGGCAGGGCAAGTGACTGAAGTATTAGTAGGGGAACACTTTGAGATTAGGGATCATAATTCTATTAGTTTTAAAATAGTTATGGAAAAGGATAAAAGGTAAAGTTCTTAATTGGAATAAGGCAAATTTTAATGGCATGAAACAAGAATTTTCAAAAGTTGATTAGGAGTAGACTGCTTGCAGGTAAAGGGATGACTGATAAGTGAGAGGCTTTCAAAACTGTCGAGAGTTCAGAGGCCTTATGTTCTTGACATTGGTGAGGCCTCTTCTGGAGTACAGTGTGCAATTTGGTCGCCCTGCTGTAGGAAGGATAATATTAAATTGGCGACGGTTCAGAAAAGATTTAGCAGGAATGTGCTGGAAATGGGGTGGAGGGGGTCGTGGCAGGAGTTGTTGGTTTTAGAATAGGCTGGCACTTTTTCACTGGAGCGGAGAAGGCTGTGGAGTGACCTTATTGAGGTTGAGAAAGTCATGAGGGGCATGGACAAGGTGAATAGCCAAGGTGTTTTTCCAAGGATGGGGGAATTCAAAAATAGGGGTCATATTTTTAAGGTGAGAGAAGAGCGTTTTAAAAAGAACATGAGGGGCAACTTTTTTTACACGGAGTGGTTTGTGTGTGGAATGAACAGCCAGAGGAAGTGTGGATGCAGATACAGTTGCAATGTTTAAAAGACATTTGGATAAGTACATGAATAGGAAAGGTTTGGATTGATGTGGGCAAAATGCAGGCAGATGGGACTAGTGTAGTTTGGAATCAGCATCAGCGTGGGCTAGTTGGACCAAAGGGTCTGTTTCCATGCTGCATGACTCTACGTGACTAAAGCATATTTAAAATTAAGATCATAAAACATGTTTAATTTAGTGTTCAGTAATCAAGTAACCGAAAGATCCCGGCTTTTCTCTTGGCTTTCTTTGTTTCTCTTCCTCTTCTGACAGTGATAACTTGTGCCAAAGCATAATTCGACAGTCTTTGACAATTTAAGGATGCACAGTTCAGTTGCACTGATTCTGTTGCTGTCCTGGTTAAGATTAACTGTCTCTTGCAAATCAGAGATTGAACTTGGGTTATTTAGTGCCACACGAGTGGGATATTGAAGTACTGAAACAGTTTCCAAACACAATACATTCAGTGTGACCATATCATATCTCTGGTTTACTGTCAAATATGTTTCTCCTATTTATTTAATTAGAACATTTAAAGTTATCTTCGACAGTATTCTATGTGTAGAGAATTTTTATGAACATAACTGTTGTTCTGATTTTGTCAATTAGGTCAACCAATTGTTAGCTTTAACTGCTAGATAGAGGAACTGTTTTCGTCTTGCGTGCTAATATGTTCTGCTATACGTAGTATAGAAATGTTCTTAAATTGCTGTTTGCAATCCATGGATAGCCACTCTATGAATGACTGCATGTGCCCATGAGCCGCCTGCACCTTTAATTCTGTTGGTCAAGAGATTTAAGATGTCGACTGCCCATAAAATTGATGTGGAGGATAAGCATTGAGACAATTTTGCTTTCTCCTGGACAGATCACCAAAGTGGTACTAAGTAAAGGCTGGCGATGCCTGGAGTGTACAGTGTGCGAATCCTGTGGGAAGGCCTCTGATCCAGGTCGTTTACTTCTCTGTGATGATTGTGACATCAGCTATCATACCTATTGCCTGGATCCACCTTTGCAGACAGTTCCTAAAGGTGGCTGGAAATGCAGATGGTAAGTTTACTGGGTAAGATTATTATTTTAGCACAAGTACAGTTGAAGTCGATGCGTACAGAAGCAATAACACAAAAAGGTAATTAATTGCTTCTTTGAAAAAATATCCTGCGTATCTCAGCTGAGACATTTCTAATTGGCATATAATTGAAAATATGCTGTTAATAAGGTGAAGGTTGTGTTTGTCAATCAGGGCAGCAGCAGGGAAAATCAAAGGATTCATCAAGAAAGCAATACGATTCATATTCTAAAAATACACTTGTATAATAACCTGAGCAACAAGATAGCCGGTTAGCTTTGGTCAGCCTCTCAATTAGTCTATAAACAGTGTTGTGTATATTTTCTAGCTGTTAACATTAATATGTGAAACTGTATTGATTTAATAGTCAATGTTCTTTCGTGATTATACTCCAGTGGAGTTGGTTGGATGTTGTTTATATGGCAGTTGACTTTAAAATGTTTGAATATTCTCACTTAAACCATTTTTCAAATATGAAGTAGCAGTCGTTCTTAAGAATTTAGTGTCCCTTCTTTAAAATATGATTCTCTTCCATGCAGAATAAATGAGAGATTTAGCCTCTTTAATGTTCATTGTTCGGTCCTTAATCATGGAAGCACTGCAAGATTCTTCAAGGTAAATCTGTTGAGGTCAAGCTACACTTGTGTTGCAAACTGCCTTCTCTTCGTTCTGTAGGTGTGTTTCTTGTGTACAGTGTGGAGCAACCTCACCTGGTTTCAAGTGTGAATGGCAGAACAATTATACACAATGTGCTCCTTGTGCCAGCTTGACTGTCTGCCCAGTCTGCAACAAGAATTACAAAGAGGAGGAGCTTATTATACAATGTCGGCAATGTGACAGGTGGGTGCATTCATTATATTCCTAGCATATGGACTGTATGAGGTGGAAGACTGAGAATTATAATGAGTGCATAACTTAATTTCATACATCAGAAATTACATGCAACATTAATAAAGAATGCTGTAAGAAAACTAGCGTATAATATGTATGTCTGTATCTTAGTATGAATTGAATAAGGCATTTGGGCACTTGCCAATTGAAAAGTGTTTTGACATTTCTTAATCATCTGATATTGAATATTTTTGTGAAAGTGATAGAATGTAGGAGAAAAAGAAGGGAAAGCTGCAATTGCTGGAAATCTAAAAGACAGAATATTTGAGAAATATACATACAGCTCATCAATCAGTATGTTTACAAAGGAAAGGGCAAGAATCCGCATTTCGGAGGTGTTAACATTTCAACAAATATCATACTGTCTTTAGTCATATATTGACTGGCCTTTCATTCCAGCATTGACTTTAAAAAAATTAATTTGACTTAGTTATTGTGGTTAAATTACTTATGAATATCCATTAAGAACAGTGGGGTTTGACTAGACCCAAGCTTTTATGACTGACAATATCTGCAATGAAAGATAAAGTCGTATTAATAAATTGAAGTTCAAGTCAGACAATTTTGAGATAATATACTTGGGTAGAGAGAATAGGGATGTCAGTTATAGACAGGGTAGAGGAATAAAGGGATCTCCGAATACAAATGCACCAATCACTGAAACTTGTATAAAAACTGAAAGAACTGCGGACGCTATAAATCAGGAACAAAAACAGAAGTTGCTGGAAAAGCTCAGCAGGTCTGGCAGCATCTGTGAAGAAATAATCAGTTAACGTTTTGAGTCCAGTGACCCTTCCTCAGAACTGATGGTAGCTGGGAAAACATAGGTTTATATGCAGAAAACAGGGAGGGGGATGGGGTAGCGAGTAAATGGATGGGATAGACCCGAAGAGAGAAAACAGCAGTTGGATAGAGAAGGGAGTTGATAACGATTTGGCTACGAGGATGAATAGTTGTTAATGGGGAGTGTTAGTGACTATATGATAACCAGGTATGTTGTGTGGGGTAGGGGGCTAGGACATGGGAGAATTTAGGCCCTAAAATTATTGAACTCCATATTGAGTCTGGAGGGTTGCAGGGTCCCAAATGGAAAATGAGGAGTTGTTCTTCCAGCTTATGCTGAGCTTTGCTGGAACACTGCAGCAAGCCAGAGACAGAGATCTTGGCCAGGGAACAGGGTGGTGTGTTAAAGTGGCAGGTAACAGGTAGCTCAGGGTCTTTTTGGCGAGCTGAACATAGATGTTCTGCAAAGTGGTCACCCAGTCTATGCTTCATTTCCCCAATGTAGAGGAGACCGCATTGTGCAGAGCAAATGCAGTAGACTAAATTCTGGGAAGTGCCACTGAAGTGTTGCTTCACGTGGAAGGTATGTTTGGGCCCTTGGATAGTGGGGAGGGAGGAGGTAAATGGCCAGGTGTTGCACCTTCACTGGTTGTAGAAAGGTGGACAAGGGAGGAGAGGGGAGTGAGTATCTGGTGGTGGCATCTGGCTGGAGTTGACGGGAATGACGTCTGATGATCTTCTGGATGTGGATGGTAGGTGAGGACAAGGGGAACCCTATCACTGTTACGGGAGGGGTGAGGGCGGAAACACAGGAGATGGGTCGGACCCAGTTGAGGGCCTGTCGACAATGGTGCTGGGGAATCCTCGATTGAGGAAGAAAGTGGACATTTCAGAGTCTCCCTTGTCGAAGTTGGCCTCATCTGAACATATACGACGGAGATGAAAGAACTGAGAGAATGGAATGGAGTCTCTTTGTAGGAGCCAGGGCGTGAGGATGTATAGTCCAGGTAGCTGTGGGAGTCAGTTGTTTATAGTGGATATTCGTGGCCAGTCTGTCCCCAGAAATGGAAACAGAGATGTCGAGGAAGGGAAGGGAGGAATCCAAGATAGACCGGGTGAAAGTAAGGGCAGAGTGGAAATTGGAAGTGAAATCAATTAACTTTTCCATTTTTGGATGAGAGAGGGAAGCAGCACTGATGATATCATCGATCTATCAGAGAAAGAGTTGTGTTAAGGTACTGTTTGTTAAATTGTGGAAAGAATTTAGTGATACCGTGCACAAAAGATTTACAAGGATTGTAACGGAAACAGTGGTTATACATAATATGAAAGGATTTGACATACTTGAGTCTCTGTTTCTGTTGGGGGTGGGGGGGAATACAGAAGCTAAGGTGTGTGTGCAAAACTTAGAGTTCTGTGAAATTATGAAAGGTTTTGACAGGAAAAATAGATACAATTCCTTCTTTAGTTCACTAATGAGAAGTGGTGGAAGCATGTAGTGTGAAGAAAGGTAGAAGTAGACTTGGGTGGAACACTGAAATCAGCAAAGATCACTGGGATAATGGCTTGGTTTTGCCCCATAAATCTGATCGAACTGTGTGAACAAGTTCAACCGCTGTTTGTGCTTGATAGTGACTTTTTTTTTGGAAGGGACCAACCTGAAAAGTTAACTATTGAGTCAAATTATGATAGAAATAGTGGATCAGCAGGAGGGAGGTGGCATGAGTTTAAATGTGGATGATTCCTATTTGTGTCCTTTCCTGCCTGCGCACATCCCTTTGGATATTTACATGTTAATGCCTGTTGTACAATTTCAATGTCTAATACGATGTTTATTTTAATGTATAATTTGTAAACATCTTTATTTTCTCAGGTGGATTCATGCTATATGCCAGAACCTGAACACAGAAGATGAAGTAGAGACTGCAGCAGATAATGGCTATGACTGTTTCACGTGCAGACAATATGCAATGACAACTCCAGGTAGTAGCCAATTTGCCCAGAATATCTTTTAAAACAAAGCCTTAAAAAGGTGACCTGTAATTTGGATGAATTAGGTCTTTTATAAACAAAAACATGATCGTGTTTAACAGCTATCTGGTGATTGCAGTTAAATTTAAACAGTTAACTGCTGAAGATTCAAATATACTAACAGGTTTCTAATTTTTTTCACCTCAGTGACTACCTCAGAAGAGACTGAGTTATCTTTGGTAACACCTCAATTTATTGTAAAGACAAAAGAACCAGGTAAATGGCCAGATCTGGTCTTCAAATCTTTGATCTGTACCTTAATTCCCCTTCCAATTTTCTACCTTTCTGTCGGGGCAGTGCTAGTGCGCTTCATTCAGGAGATGTCAGCAATATATTGTGCTTTATCAAAACAAAATGCAGTGAATGTTGGCTGGCACTTGGCAATGGAATGTTGTATCAATACCATTCATTTTTAGTTGACATTAGCAAGTGCCACCTTTTATAGCTATCATCTTGGACAATTTTTATTTATTCATGGGATGTGGGCTTAGCTGACGAGGGTAACATTTATTGTCAATTCTAGTTGCTGTCGGCAAGGTAGTAATGAGCTACCTTCTTGAAATGCTGCTGACATGTGCTGTGGTAGACCCTCAATGCCATTAGGGAGAGAATTCCAGGATTTTGACCTAGCGACGGTGAAGGAACGGTGATATAATTCCAGCTCGGGATGCTGAGTGGCTTGGAAGGAAATTTGAAGGAGGTGGTGTTCCTGTTTACCTGCTGCTCCCTTCTAGATGGTATTGGTTGTGTGTTTGGAAGGTGCTATCTAAGGAACTTTGGTGAATTTCTGCAGTCCATCTAGAGTGGTTCACACTGCTTCGATTGAGCATCAGTGATGAATGTTTGTGAATATGGTGCCAATTAAACAGTGTTATGTTCTTAATGGTATTCAGCTTCAGCATTGTTGGAGCTGCAGTCGTCCAGACAGGTGGCTAGTCTTCCATCACTCTCCTGACTTGCGCCTTGTGGACAGTGGACAAGCTTTGGGGAGTTCAGCAATGAGTTGATCATTCCTGGACTTCAAGCCTCTGACCTGCTCTTGTAGCCAATCTATTTATAGTCCAGTTCAGTTTCTGGTCAGTGGTAAGATCAGGATGTTGATTGTGGGGTATTCTACGACGTAATGGCAGTAAATGTTAACTGGATGGTTATATTGTCTCTATATTGGAGATGTTCATTACCTGGCACTTGTGCACCATAAATGTTACATGCCACTTGTCAGTCCAAGCCTGGATATTGTCCACATCTGACATTTGGGCATGGATTCCAACAGTATCTGAGGAGTTGCCAATATTGCTGAACATTATGTAATTCTGAGCAAGCATGCCACTTCTGACTTTGATAGAAAGAAAGTTATTGATGGAGCACCTAAAAATGTTGAAGTCTTGGACACTACCCTGAGGAACTCCTAGAGAGATGTCCTGGAGCTGAGATGGCTAACCTCGAATGACCACAGTAACCTCCAATTATTTTCTTGAACTTGGTATGACTCCAAGCCTCCTCCCTCCTGTCTGTTTCCTCCCTCCCCCACCAACCCCTAGTTCCCATAGACTGCAGTTTTGCTAGATCTTCTTGATGCCACATTTGGATAAATGCAGCCTTAATATCAAGGGCGGTCGCTCACATTTCCCCCTCTAGAATTCAGCTCTTTTTGTCCACTTTTGAACCAAGGCTGTAATGAAATCGGGAGCTGAGGGACTATGGTGGGCTCTCAATGAGCAGGTTATTGCTGAGCAAGTGCTGATTGATCGCACTGTTGATGATTCCATTCATTGCTTTACTAATGATAGAGTGTTGACTGGTAATTGGCCAGGTTGAATTTGTCCTATGTTTTCTGTACAATTTTCCACATTAACAGATAGATACCAGTATGTAGCTGTCCTGGAGCAGATGAGTTAGGGGTGTGACAAGTTCTGGACTACAGGTTTTCAGTACTGTTGTCAGGGCCCACATCCTTTGCAGTTTCTTTTGCCATTAACCATTTCTTGATATCATGTGGAGTGAATTAAACTGACTGAAGACTGCTGTCTGTGATGCTGGGGACCTTTGGCGGAGGCGAAACAGATGGTCTGTGTGTCTGGAATCACATACAAGCCGGACCAGGGAAGCATGGCAAATTTTCCTCCCTAAAAGTCAATAGTGAACCAGATAGAATTGAATATTTTAGAACTGGACCAATAAAAAATTACCATTTAATTGGCGCAGAAAGGTTCTTTACATTTCAGTCTGTAAACCTACACTTTTCGTCTAATCAGAACCGATGAGGACATATACACGGGATGGTGTCTGTCTGACTGAAGTTGGTATGTCACAGCTCCAAAGTCTCAGTATTGCTCCTCCACGTCGGAAGCGACCCAAGCCAAAGTTGAAGCTAAAGATCATAAACCAGAACAGTGTTGCTGTTTTACAAACTCCACCTGATCCTCAGTCTGAACAATCGAGGGACATGGATGGAGATTTAGATGAAAGCAGAGGTACAATATTATGTTTGATTCCTTTTAATAAACAAGGAAAAAGAGTTGCTGGCTTTACATTATATGCACTATGTGTATGCTTGCCCAAATAAGATAACTCAGTGGAGCAAATGCTTCAAAACATTTGTGTCAATATCATATGCATGTTAAGTAATAAATTATCTGGCAAGTGTATTGAAATCTCAATCTTGTGCTTTATTGCACCATCATGGCTTTAGCTCTTCCACTTAGTATTTCTACTTCTGACTCTTCAGAGTATAATTACTTAATTCTCATTTGCAGAAACTTCAATTGAAGGAAAATTACAGTTTGTCGTCTCCTTTTGTTGCTAGCAGACAAATTGACGCTGCATTTTATTATGTGTTTCATAAGCATTCAAGTCATACATTTAAGAGAAAAGAATAATTAAATAAGTAAACAAAAAATGTTGCCCTAATTTGGTTAATGCTTGTTCTGTCATTCAGGTCCTCATCTGAGATGCCTATGCCTTCTAGGAATGAGGGCTGTTTTATAATACTTCACACAAAATCAGATTGCTCAATTTCAGGATCATTTAATTGCTTTCTTTGTTGGCTATCTTTGTAGCCAAGATTTGTTTTTCCATGCAAGTTATCTTCTTGTTTAAATTGCTTTTTGTTTTCTTTACTCTTCTTTTGTGCTCCCTTCTTCCACATGCTCTGCTCTTCTGCTTTTTCTGTCGCACTCCTCTGCTGTTGCTCATCATGGTCCCAAGCACTTTTAAAACTTGTTGCTGAGATTGTCCATAAAGTTGTAAGAAACTCAACAAATAAGTTTGTGGTTTCTTTAGGTGAGGTTTCAGATATTAATGTAGATCAGAACTGAGACCTTTTTAAAAATAGTGTGGCAGACTGGCCTCAATTTGAGCACAGTAGTGAATGAAAAATAAATAACTTCCCAAGCATACAAGGCTCATTGTGCCCATAGAGAGTCCCCAATAAACCAGAATTGTCCTGAAAAGAGGGTGCTTTTCAGAGTTTATACAACCCATTGAACTCTATAGTTTAATTCCTAATGAATGGATTCATTCTAATTTATCCGATAATTTGGAAACTTTATTTTTGTTAAGTAAGATGTTTGGTTTACAACAGAGCTTCTTTTATCTGCATTAAAATAGGGTTTCTGTTGTGCCAACAACTGCAGCTTCATAAACTCGTTGGCCATTTAATTTGAATGCTGCTACATCCAGGTTTTCTTTACTTGCATTTAGAAGTCGTTTTTTCCCCCTCTGTTTTTCTTCCAGTTTTTAATATTTTTACTATTTCACATTGCATCCTTGTTGATTTTTAATATCCAATAGAAATCTATAAACATTCTAATTGAAATCTGCCATATGGTTAAATTCTAAATCTTTAATGCCTTATTAAACCAGTTGTAGGTTTATAAATACGGAATGGGTTCCCAGTGCAGTTGATAGGCCACTGCCATTAAAAGTTGCTGATGTGATCCATCTCCACATATAAAGATGCACCTAAAACACAAGTCAAACACTCTCAGACACCTAATTCCTCCTGGGCAGAACATGTTGCTTACTTCAAAAAACAGTCAATCTCACGATCAAGGAGAAAATGATTTCTGTGTTCTTTTAAAATGTTAGATGACACACATTATAATTAAGAGAAGTAAAGTTTCACTCGGGAGGAACTTTACCAATCTTTAAGAGCTGGAAATATGAACAGACCTATTTAAGCCAGCCTCACAGTTACCCCCATAAATATGTTGCACCTTTTGTATGTTGTTGGGCTTGGGACCAACATGTACTGTTTTAAGAAAAAACTTTAGTTGAAGCAAAATTGAATGAAATTAATTGTTGGACAACAACACATTGCAAAGCTGTGTTTCTGCGTGTGCATGTTCTCGACTGCACCTGGCGGTGGTGTTGCCCATAACACAGCCTTATAAAATTGCATTTCACCTGAGCACTGCACATATTCTGAACTTCAATATCTACGTTTTGAAGCTTCAGTATATCTATTCTTTCATTGTGTGTAATATTTAAAGTAGAATTATAATGAAGGATAAACCATAGCCAATTTAAATGCAAATAGTTTGGCTAACTAAAATTAGGATCCAATTTGTTGCGAATTTTTAACTAGTAAATTAATTTTGTGATTCTCAGTGTAGTTATCAGCCTATCAAAATCTAAATTTGGTCCAAAACTTAAGCATAATTTCCAAACTCAGTACAGTATGAAGTTGAAAAGCAGCAAAATCTTTATCATTCTGGAGAGAGCTACTTTCACATATACTTTGTGCTTCTTGGTCACTTCCTGCACAAATCGTTATCCTCTTAAGAACAGAATTATTTGCAGGATAATTGTATATATACATTGATGTGAATAATTTCTACTGTGTAGTTTAGACATATTCAAGTGGTTAGAAGTCTAAATCAGTGAATAGGCTAAACAATGACGTGGAAAGGTGAAAGTTTATTTTTTAAAACTCTAAACGTCTCTGCATTTGAATCTCTCTTGTAGTTCAGGCTTCACTTCAAAATTTATACCTGTATCCCAAAAATATCCCCTACCTTGAAAGCAAATCTAAACTGACAGTTCAAGTAATACTAGTGCTATCTATTTGAGATGTTAAGTCCAAGTCCAACCTCCTTTTAACACTATTTCAAAGAAGAACAGGACACTGTTTACTGGTGCCCTGGTCAATAGTTGCATCTCAACTAACATGATTGAAACAGATTATCTAGTTGTTAGTGCATTGCTAGCTTTACTCTTTGAAAAATTCTGTCTGCCTTTAACAGTCATGTAATCATGTTTCTCCCACATAATCTACATGTAGACAGAATAATTCAACAATCATATAAAATGCAAAACTATCAAAGATCAGAAATTTCAGGCTGTCTATAGGCAAATAATTCAAGCATCCTGCCCCTTTCCATTACTCTTCCCTACACCTCCACCCTCCTCGTCCCACCTCTTCTCCCAAATTAGTCACTTGGATACATACTAATTAGCGCTTTACATCAACTGGAGTATCAAATTTCAGCCAAGTATGTCTTTTTAACCAAAGGTCAGGCAGGAGCTTGGAAATATCCCTACAGTGCTATTTAAAACGGGCCCGTATTCCAAACAGTTAAACTGGTGGTGAACTATTTTACAGGTGAAATAGGCAGCATTTATGGAGTTGAGGGCTGATAGCATAAGTGTACTTTGTTTATTCTGTCCATTGTTCCTATTCTCTGAGTCCCTATTCTCAGTGACTTCTGTTTGTCTCCAAATCCACTACCATTGAAAATTTAACACTTTCACCCTCCTGTTTAACCACTTTGTGCCATCCTCTATCATTCTCCCTCACTCCATACTTTCCTCTAACCACTGGTGAACTTCAACCTTTCTCTCTCCCTCTCGCTCTCGCTCTCGCTCTCGCTCTCGCTCTCGCTCTCGCTCTC